GGAAGAATTCTTATTGCTATTAGAGAAACATTTTGAATCATTTTTCATTAATTTCATAACAAAATTTACTTTCTCCCCTAGAGAATATCATAAAAATGGGTGAACAAAAACTGTAGCCATATTTTTCTGTGAAAATAAATTTTCAGTTTTATAATATAATATTTGTTTCCTGTTAAACATAAAAGATAATCCATGCCCTGGATAGTATGACCTAATGGAACAGCTGCTGCATAAACATATGCTTCATTGATGAAAAACCTTAACTGGATGTAAATGTTTCGCAAAAAATTTTTAAGGACAACAGGTAGCAACTCAAAAATCCTTCAGTTGCTCCCCTCCCCCAAAGTTATTTAAAGTCCTGGATAATATTGGGAAAATAATTCTTTGTAAGAATACACTTATAAAATCATAAAAAATTACTCATAAATCACATTTTTATTCTCTAAAGTCACTGATATTTAGTGCATTATTAAACATATGAAAGTAAGGGGAAACACAGAACAGAGTGACATATTGTATGAACACATAAACAGGCAATCAATTAAGAATATGTATAAATAAAAAATTTGAAATAGTTAATGCATTATCAACCTTACATCCCTGGCCAATTAATCTGAAAACCTTTGCATTTATTTATATATAAAGTTGTACAAGTCAGAAATGTGTCAATAATGTGTTATTTTATTTCACATTTCAGTATTTAAAAATATCATTGCATTAGAAAAAGTGATATATTATTAGTGTTAACCACATTCTGATAATTATTTTCTAAGAACAGTCAATTATGACGTAGGAATTCAGACAAAATAACTTTCTTTATGCATTTTAAATCTATTTTCCGAGTTTTCGTGATTTTGGATTTAATATTCAGTTTATTTATTTAAATAGTCAAAATATAATTTAAGAATTTATATGTTTTCCCTTCAGATTTCTATAAAATGTACAATGCAAATATATAAAAGGACATGAATATAAAAGGACTGAGAATTAATTATTTTTAATTCCCAAAACACATATATAGTAAGCTTTAAATGAATTAACATTTGGAATTGTATATAAGACTATATATTAGAAATAACATATTTTGCAGAGCATATAAAGAAATAAAAAGTGTCAGATATGACTGAAATTAAATTTTTTTTATAAAAGTCAAAATTTTGATAATGCTATACAGATATTACAAGTCATCTCAATAAACTATATATTTTTTGTAAATGTTTTAATGCTTTTTACTTTATTTTTGCAATATTTTGTATTGTTTTATTTCTTTATTCATTATTATTTTTAAGAATGACAATTTTATGCTTTATTTTGTGTTTAATCTAATATTTGGCCACACATCTTGTAATTGACAATTTTTGTTGCCAAGGTCGCGACATTTGTCAATTTCTTGCTAACTTAGCGAATTTCGGAACACCTGCAAAAAACATATCTGAAGCCCTAGAGACCATGGTCAAGATATAATATCTGTCAGACAGCTGGAGTGTTCAGTTCTAAATCAGATGTGAACCAGCTGAGAAGTTTAGAGGTTAACTGAATTAAGAGTGAACGTTTACTCTGAGAGTGATTTGAGGAACTTTCTGATTTATTTCTTGTGTTAAGGAGGAATTGCTAAATATTCGCTTTCTTCTTGAGTTATTTCTAACATTAATGTTCTGTTTTATGTACTGAGCTTATTTTTCTAATAAATTGTTTTTTCTTCCTGCTTATCTGGACTTTTATTTAAAGAAATATCAATGATCTCATAACTTGCAACAATATGCATATGTTACTTATTGAGAGACGAACTACATATGCTTCATTTCAGGCTTATTACTTTAAAATAGGCAATTAAAAAATTTTCCATTAATCCTTTTCTTTACTTTTTAAAAAATGCCTTCACAAAAGTTTTTAAATGAGATGCTCTAAATTGACATAAAGAAGCTTTTTTATTCAATGCACAACCAATCACACATATAATTTTGATACATATATTTCATTTTACTTCCTTTCTAAATCACGTAATTATTTTTTTTGGGGGGGGGCTACTACTGCTATTTAATTCACAGATATTAATAATAGACTTATACATGTGGAGTATATAAAAAGAAAAAATAGCTCAAGTATAAAACATATATTTTGAGAAAAGAAATATTTTAAATATGCTTCTTTTGCGAAATTATGCTCAACAAACTGAAAGAATGTATATAGAGATTTCTGAAAATCTGTCTTTAGAGTGACATAAACATTTCATTATAGAGATTTCTGAAACTCTGTCTTTAGAGTAACCTAAATATTTCATATCATGAAACTTTTCCCTTTCCATCACTGTATAGCATTCCTTTCATTAGCATTATCAAACAAAATTTTAATTTTTGCATTGGAAGATAAAAATTTGTTTTATTACCAAAAATCTGCATAACGTGATAAATTTGTAAGATTAAGGGTAAGTCACACAACAAGCAACAGTTTAAAATCGAGTACACAGAAACCTTATTTTGGGGTAGATTTTAAATCATTTTGAGAGCAATCATTTCAAGGGCTGACATAGGTCCCTATTCTTCAGGAACAAAAAACATTCTGCTGAAGAACATCTCCATGGATTTTGATATTTAATTTGATTCTAATATTTTACCACTAATTGTCTATAACAGTCAAGTACTATTGTCTTATGAAAGTTCACCTTCTCAAATGAATTAAGAGATGAATGATGCGTTCTGGGTTATAAAAATAAATTAACATCATCTTTCCTCAAAACTTCTCCAAATGCACATTTTTTTTTGCCTAATCATGAAATAAATTATGAAGATTTTCATAATACACATGGCATTTGCTTTCTAAATCATACATGAAGTATTCCTCTTGACATCTTTAGATACACCAAATTGCTTTGAAAGCATTCAGGATGAATTCTGAAAATTGACCGCAATAATTTTAGATATTTTTGATTATTTCATAGATGGTTGCTGATTTAAAATTCTCCTGATTTTAAATCACTATCAATAACATCTCTCATCATGTTTTTAAAATGCATATATCACATCAGAAGACATGCATGAAAGTAAAAATAATTACAGTAAATTAGGTGCATCATTCCCTATGTTTCGGTAAACAATTTACTAAACTCAAAACAAAGCTTAATGTTTATGAATTGCTCCATTATATTACCATGTTAAACTGCCACTTAACATATCAGCTTTGGTTCATATTTCCTAAAATATTTATTACATGCTTTTTGCTAAATATGAACATGAAAAGTAATAACGTTGTTGAAATTTTCATACTTCATTCATACAATGTTGTTCATTCTTCATATTTTAGACTGAACTGCTAACTTCAAAGAGAAAAAATAAATTTGGTTTCTTTCTAAGCAGACTTAGTATTACAGATCTAAAAATTTATAAATAGTATACGTATTTTCCATTCTAAAACTTTACATACACATTCAATTGATTTGGAAAAAAAATTATTAATATATTCATAACTATTACTTTGCACACAATGCTTCATGTTCCAAATTCTGTAAACATACATGTAATAGCTAATATAATATTTTAGACAGATTTAAACATAAATAAGTGCAATTTCATGACATAAACATAATTTTGTTTAAATAAATTTAAGCTAAAATTAAATTATACTGAAACATTTCAATAGTGAAATAACTTCAATATACTAAAACTATATATTTTTTTAATATATTATGAAATTACATTCTTAAAAATAGGGAAATGTGGACAAAGTTGATAGAAAAATGAAAAATTAAAAAATTACTTGTATAAAATCTTTTACCACCTATTTGGCTAATTCTATAAAAACATTTTCATTTTATAACTGATTTTGTCTACAAAATTAATTTTGAACACATCTTAAAAATAATACAATATGATAATAATATGTCTCCTACACAAATTCCATGAACAAAAAAATATATATGTAATGAATTCAAGAGCAGAACCAATGACCAGAAAATTGGGGACGAATGCAGATTAAATCTTCAGTTTTATTTTGAGCAACATGTTGCAGCGACAATCAAGTTGGCACATTAATTGTGCCTATTCCAAGATACATTTCCAGATATTTTAGATACATTTCCAATAAGAAAGAAATAGCAGACAGACTGAGTGCGGCCAGGCCAAAGCATAGAAAGCATGTTCAGGATGAAATCCTAAGTCAGATTTAGTTTTAGTTCTCAAAGCATTTTGACTGGATAGTTAATATCGCTGTAAAATTATTATTGGCTGCTTGAGTTTTAGTTCAATTTACATCACCAGAATTATGGAAGAGTTGTATGATATAGATTTTTCTCGAAATGACGCAGTGCAAAGAGGGGTTACTATTTTTAGAATAAAGAAGAGAAATTAATTTACACTGCTTATTTAATCTTTTACATATTCTTTATTTTTCTTACATATTCATTCATGCAACCTTTAATTAACTTTCTGCAATTCAGGATCTTTCCCCTAGACCAGTACCTTCTAGAATTTGCTAGTATATTACGTAACCACTGTTATAAATAGCGAATGCGCGCCATTTTGCATCAGAAGAAGCTCACCTCTCCTCCTGTGCTATACATCTCGCTGCTGCTTGATCTATCTTTCCTTTGTTAGAAACAGTAATGACATATAAAGTTTAACTTACTTGTACTTGGTCATACTTGGTTTAAACTACTATTGAATATGTGATTTAGAGAATTTCATATGAAGTAAAGCATGATCTACGAAAAATTGAATTAAAGCTATGGAATAAAAATGTACCATTAAAAGCTAAATCAACTTGCCTCTTCATTTGGATTAGCCTTACCACTCTGCATAAAGCCATGCCTGAACTTTGATGCCGAGATTCGTCATGTCTGCCAAAATATCACATACTATATATATATTCTGAAATATTTCAAAAATTAAAACCATTTAATTTTGTCCCACTTTATTTAAAAGATATTAAATTTTAAACCACCATCTAAATTTTTTTATGTAACAGAATTTATATATTTCACAATGATGAATTTTAATATAAAACAATGGTAAAAAAAATATGTCTTTATTAGGTATAACTCTGTATAAATGAAAAGTTCCAAGCGGAAATATTTTGAATGCTTAATCTAATATTACTGGTCTGCTTCTGGCTTTTCTGACTGTGTTTGTTCAAGCTAAAAAGAAAATAAATAGTAAAAAAAATTATTGACTAATTTAGATTAAGAAAATTTAAATTGAAGGAGATGTACAAAAGGAAATTTTAGATAAATAATCATAAAACAGAATTCAATGATTTTGAAAACACCATAATAATAATTTTCATCATTAACTGTATTTAAAATTATAATCAATAATTAAAAAAATTAAGAATGATTAGTATAAAATATTTAGAAGTATACAGAGTTATAAAATACAATTAAAAATTACCACAGGTTCTCTAGGAGATTCTAAATTTATCAAAACTGGCCCATCATGCTGAACATTAATTTGGCGTTTTATTCCAAATTTTCCATCTGAAAACATATGTACAACTTCTTTAGAATTTGTATAATATTAAGGTCATGCAGAAATGAATGACACAAATGCTGCCACAGAGCGGAATACAATTTATTAACCAAAAACTGGTAGCACATCAATTAGAAATAATCCCCACTGAAGTCAATACACTTCTGCCATCTGGCTGGGAGGTCCCATAGGGCTTTGGTAAACCAGTCTGTGGAGGTGTTAGTGTACCACCTACGGACAGCTGCATGCAATGCGGCAAAAAATTCACATGTTGGCCCCTAACTGTGTGTCCTTCATCTTGTCAAGCAAGGCATAGACCGAGGGGACCAGATTGGGCAAGTATGGAGGGTGTGGCAACACAGTGAAGCCCGATCCCACGTGAGTGTCGTGAGCATTCTGGCTGGTGTGGGGACGTGCTGTAACAGCACACGCTGTGCCCATTTGCCTGGACGGTGCTGCTGAATATGCCGCCGCAGCGTTTTGGCAAACTCACAGTACAAGTCACTGTTGATGGTGCACCCAGGCTACAGCCAATTCACGAGACGAATGCCCTTGACATCCCAGAACACAGTTGCCATTTGTTTCCTTATGCTCAGTGCCAGCCTAGGCTTCTTGGGGCATGGGCTTGATACATGCTTCCACTCAATGGAGCTGTGTTTTTTTCGGGAGTGTCGTGAAAAATTCAAGACTCATCCTCCGTGATTAGGCGGCAAAGAAGTCATCTGGATGGGCATTGTGTAGTGCAAAAAGAATCTTTGCAGATGTTGATGTGCTTTGCCTTTTGTTGTGGTGTTAGTGCATGAGGCACTCACTTTGCACACACCTTTGTCATCTCCAAATCACCATGCACAATCGCCTGCAATGTTCCTTGCACAAGCTTTGTATCTTTCTGAATCTTGTCGAATGTTATGCATCTGTTCACCATGATCAAATCCAACATGGCTGCCACATTTGCTGCCGTATGCAATGTTGCTTGTTGTCCCATGCTGCACTTTTGGCTGCGGTCTCCACTCCACTGCTGAACTTGGTCAACCAATGGGATATGGTACGCCTTGAGGGTGCTTTGTTCCCACACACTGACACCATGCAACAATGGATTTCACTAGCCTGTATACCTTCCTTCCATAGGAACCATGCTGTCTGTGATAGTCGGCTTCCATCATTGCTGTCCACACTCTCAATGACGATGGCAAAAGGGACGGGAGCTGACCTTGTACCATTCGCTTGTGGCCAGTACCATTTATGCATTCTAAGTAGTTCACACCTCCTTGTGTCTATTTCACTTGTTTTCTTGTCACATAGCGTAATAGTTTCGTTGTGAGAGCCATTGCATCAATCATTTCTGTACGATCGAAGTCTATGTGAAAGATACTCAGTGACGAAGACAATAGGTATCTTAGTCATTATCTGAACTATGATATCTTCTTTCATTCATTTTATTCAAGAGCATTTCAGAAAGATAAAATAACTATCATACTTAAAGACAAACCTATGGCATGGTGCCACTAGGTGACAGGTATTTCAATGACACATCCTAGGTATACATAAAATTACTTTTATTAATTTATATTCATCAAAATCACCATTCCCCCCCAAAAAAGAGTCTCCAAGACTAGCAGCCATCAAAGGTGGATTTAGATATGAGCATGAGTACCATTACAACAATTTTAGGTCGGAAAGATGACTAGTGCCCCCCCCTCCACCATGGAAGTTCCTGTAGAGGAGAGTGACTTTTTCTTGAGGAAGTACATGAGTAATATGACTTGTAAAGATAGAACCCAAACTAAATAGCAAATTATGATGTAATTTTGGTTTTGGTTTCTTATATTTGAATATTAAAGTGTTATGCAACAAACCTAATGTTTCGAAATATAGCGGAATGATTTTTTTTGTCAAAGAGAACACCTGTGAATACTATTGTCCTTTTTATTGATTCAGACAATTTGATTTTCTAAATACAACAATCTGAAAAAGTGACATGATGAAAGCTTCTATACCACACAAAAACTGAATTTTAAACATAACATTTTTTACATAAAACTACTCCCTGCATATGAAAAATTTAGTTTGTTGGGCTCCCCACAAATTAACAGAACATCAAAACATGGACTAATACAGAATAAGAATAGAAACTTTAAATTTACCGAATGATGGCGGACACTGCATTATATCTAAAATCATAATTGGTGATTAACTCTTTCCCACTGAAGTCGCCCCAAATGCCTGAATTATTTTCTACCTGGTGCTTTCCCCCATTACGTTAGTGCATGGCTCATTGCTTTTGAGTGTTGTTAAATTACATGCCAACCGTTCTTTTGAAGTGACAAACGTAGTTTTATTATTTGAAATGATTCTTCCTTCTCCTTTGTTTAGCGTCAATGTTTAGCTATTGATGCCCAAAGTTGCAATCCTGTCCTAAGGGAAAATGGCACACAGTAATGAAAGCACATGAAGATCCCAATTTGCTTTACTTACGTAGGTTATTATTATTATGTAGGTTATTATTTTACTAACGTAGGTTATTCAACTTGGCATGGGGGGGGGAAGAAATCCATTCCAACAAAAAATACATACGAATGTGTTAGATACTTACATGCAAATATGTTAGATGTTTGAATGAAACAGATTTTGACCTCTACTGATGTGAAATAGTTAAATATACATACTTTCTTCTGACATTCAAGCACATAAAGAAAGTAAATTATGGACTTTTTAATATGACCCCAAATCAACAATGATATAAAGATAATGAGCAGAGAAAAAAAGTAATATATGCAGTTTTCTTCAGAAGTACAGGACTGGTCAAAGCTATGAAGTTAGAGGGAAAGAAGAGACTTAAACTAATTTGTTCACTATGCGTCTTCCAGAAATTTTTTAAGGAGAGAAAATTAGGGAACTCCTTCACCATGATTATGCATCATTCATTCAACAAAAATGACAGTTGAATTTCTGGAACAAAAACATATTAACACTGAGTGGCATGGTTTTTGGGATCTGCGCAGCTCTGTATTTAAACAGCACTTAATAACTAATTTCTATTACTACTTATTTCACACTTTGTTTTCTTAAATTTCCATTAAGATGATTTACACTTAAAAAAATAAGAAAGAAAAAAATTTAAATTATAAACTAATATATATCATGTGACAAAAAAATCTCATGACTGGATAAAGACGGTCATACCACTCAGAGGGTTAAAGTGATAGAACATCCATTTTATTCTCCTGATACTGCCATGCATGTTTTTAGCTTGATATTGGAAAGAATTATTCTGAATATTTCTATGATTTGATTAGATTAACTTAAACTATAAAGATGTATCTAAAAAATTTCAGAGTGGCTCTCATATTTTTAGATATTATTAAAACTAGGGGGGAAAATGCATAAAATTTCATAGTATCATTAACATCTTCTCAAGTTTTGTGAAATTCAAGCTTCTAAATTGGCTTTGATAGCTTTGTTAATTCTCTGTCCTTTGTTTTGTCTCTGTCTGTACTTAATATCTCCCCATCCATTGTTTTTACTGCTATTCATTACTATTTTAAAATCTTTAAAACCATTGTTTTCAAAGTAGTTATAATGCAGTTTCCACAATTTAAGTCTACATAATAATCTGTAAGCAATGAATCTTACTATGAATATCAACTTACTGTAAGTTGAGCTGGTATAAACTAAAAGGAAACAATATTGTAATAAATATTTTCATAATAGATTGTAATAAATATTTTAATTCCATAATAAATTTCAGCAAATGCCGATCATCCAAATGCCACTACTTTTTACTGAAAACACAGTTCCCCTTGACATTTATCATGAAATTTAGTTTTTTTAAGTAAACATTTTTAAACAAAATCTGCTATTCTGACACTGAATCAAAAATTAATTTAAAGGCAATAAGTGATAAAAATTACAGATTCAGTACTAAAATTAAAAAAGATCAAATACATTTTGATAAAGAAGCTATACCTTTTACATGTTCATCACTATAGGCTTGTTTCATAGCTTTAACAAAATCTGAATAACATTTTTCAGCAATATTTTGTTCCATACTTAAATGAAAGTTTGGCTTAGTCCCTTTGAAGATACAATAAAGAGAAAACTGTAAAAAGAATAAAATCTTTCTAATATTTTAAATCAACAAAACGTATACTATTACTAAAAAAATATAAAGTTTCTGAAAAAAAAAAGGGGAAAAAATATTGATATGAAACATAACATGACAGAGGCATTCTAAAATTAAGTATACCTGTAATACAAACACAAATGGAAATTAAAAGCATTTTTGAAAAGGCAATTTAAAAATTGAAAATCAAAGCCAAACTTTTTTCTCTAGATTGTAATTAAAATTAATTCTTTTACTCTACAATCTATGTAAAAATATCAAAACACAACATATGTAACCAATTCTCTTTTCTATATGATTTGTATAACACCTAGTTCAAATAAGATCCCTTTAAAAATATTCCCTTGAATTTAATTCTTAAAAGTATTCATTCTTACTGAAGAACATACACTATACTATATCACATCTTATACTTGATGGAAAAGTAACCACGAAAGATGAAATTATTTTCTTTTGCAAATTTTATTATTCCAATCCTCTAAAAGAAAAAAAAAAAAAAAAAAAAAAAAAAAAAAAAGAAAAAAGAAAAAAGCAGTACTTTCCTGTTATAGGGACCAGGGAAATGTATGCATGTATGTATGTGTGCATGTATGTAAATATGTACATATGTACATGTATGCACACACATACAGCATACATTTAAGCATTTATGTATGTATACAAATAGTTTCATTCAATTAATGTAATTACTAGCTCTTAAAATATATTCAGATGGTCTTAAGATTTTAAAGAAAACTTCATAATATCAGTTTACCTGACTGATTAACAAAACTTCATATTGTTTATCCTTTACACTGCAAGACCATTTTTCTCCATTCTCATCTGGGTATATTTTTAAATTGAGCAATTTCTGTATCCTACCATGCATAATAAAAATAAGTTAGCAAATTTTACTATGCTTATTTAAAATGTTTTGATCTACACAGTACAAGTAACCATTAAATAATTAATACAGAAATTAAATATATGGGAACTTAAGAAATTAATATAAATTATGTTTAAAGGTATTATTGTATTTATATAAGTTATAAATTGTAAGAACAGAAATATTATGAGCTAATACCAGACAAATAAAAGCTTAAGTATGATGGCACATATAGAAGATACACAAAAAGTATAAATAAAATATTCTTTCTCAGTCAATTTGTTCACAGTAAGTTTGGTAATGAACAAACTTTTATGCTGAGATGAGTAAGCTACAGCAATTTTTATATTTCAAAATAAAGTGTTTCATGGGTAATCATGGTATAAGATGCAATCTGAAATTCACTAAATTTTCTGCTACTAAACTATCTGCCTTTGAATCCCAGGCTTCATAAAGGCTTTGATGAAGAAATTAAATTACCAGTGCAGGATTTACGTATAAGCTACACAAGCTATAGTTAGGGATCCCCTCCAAAAAATTAAAATATAGTATTAAAATATAATAGTATAATAGTCTTATAAAGGGGCACATAATCTCAAATAGCTTAGGGCCTTATCAAGTCTAAATCTGGCTCTGAACATTACACATCAAAGATTATCAGATAAAGTTGTTTTTATTTATAGCATACATTCTTTCAGAAACTTTGCAGAAATACCTTGAAAAGGTATACATATAAGCAATATCTGTATCAATTTTCACTTTTTCAAGGAATGCAATGGTACTTTTTGAAGTGTATTTTTGTTGCTTTGTTTTGATGAAGTGTCAGTGTTTGAAAATCAATAAGAAAAAGAAATTAATTTTTTTTTCTGTAAATATCACACATAAGACTTTCTCTTGGTAATACCTTGAGTTGATCTTAACATTTCCCCCCTCTCTCTCTTTATTTTCAATAACTTATTGCAAGAGAATCTTGCAGCAATCATAAACCCCTTAGTGAAACTTTCTTTGCTTTAACTGAACAAAGTTTAAACATTTTTTTCCCCTCTTCATTTTTAATAATATATAGACCTGTTTTTTCCTTGCAATTATTTAGAAAACCCATGCTTCATCAAGGATCACAATGTATTTCCATTTATTATAGGCTAAATAGTTTTTATACAGAGTTCTGCAAATTGTTCTGTGTTGAGCAACATGATTCAGCAAAAGCTTGTGACTATGTATTATATTTTTTTAGCTTTTTTAAGTTATAAATCTTTATTTATTTATTTATTTATTGTTGCCAGAGATGTATTTTAAGCCTTTGCAGTTGATTTCTGCATTGGCAGATTTTTTTCTTTCTGTTACCAATAATTTAACTTTAGAAACATTAGAAACAGTATGTGTCCTTTTCAGGTATTTGTTTGGAGTCTTCATTCCATGTAGAAGTAATGACTGAAGGTTTTTCCTTTTCTGGTTAATAATGTTGCTTATTTTACCCTTAGAAATTTGAATATCATGCATTTCAGAATTTTTTAAAATTTTGGATTATGTATGTTTCTGTATGGAAAGCACAAAACCCTATCCTTCAATCCATAGCTTGCTTACATGCAACATTATAAAAGAAGAATAAATTTAAAAGTAACAGATAATATTTCTCACTTCAAATAATAAGCAGAATTTTTTTTCCAAAACAAAGAATTTTTTTAAAATTCTTTATCAAAATCATTCTAAAAATGTGTAAATGCTCTTTGTAAAATAAAAGTCTTATATTTTGTGCAGAGCCAATACTTGTCATGGTATATAAATGATAAATGCCATTTCTATTTCCCCCCCCCTCCGATGAATGGTCATGTCTAGATTTTATTTTGGTATATTACAATTTTATGTGTTAACTGAAATACTTCGAGGTATTAAAAATTTAAAAATAATGAAGATTTTGCAAAACATGTAAAAATCAAACTAATACTGCTTAGCAGATTTGAAATAATTTTCCTAATACATTGTAACTTAATAAAAAAACTGAGTAATGTATTACAGAACAAAAACTTCTAATAAGAGGGAAAAAAACCCACTTTTTCAGCTGTTAAGCTATGGAAGAAATGATAAATTATTGAACAAAGCAAGTATAGTGGAGCTCTAAATAATTCTACTTATAAGCAGGCTAGTCTATCTAGATATTTGAAAATCCTGACACAGTATCTGATTGGGTTGCTAATTAGGTTAATTTGAACTAATCTAAACTACACTTATATTTTTAAAGTCATTTCTAATATTTCCTCTTTTCTGAATGATCCATGTTAAGTATTGTAGGAAAGATTTCTTTTGTGTAGGTGGTTACTTTAAAAGATTAATGTTCAGTTTGCACGTTTATGTGTTGTCTAAGAAATATTGATCATTTTCAGCAACAGTTCCCATAAAAAGTTCGATTGTAGCCACATATCTGAATTATTCAAAATAATGGCCCTAACAATGGCTGAGTGTTAAAACTGCTGAATACTGCTAGTTTGACTTGGTGTGGATTCAGTCTCAGCAAAAGCACTGGCTGCATGGTTTTCTCCATGTGAAATGTGAACATGAGCCAGTTTTTCCCAGGAAGGCTTCCTGAGGGAACTCCTCTTAGGCATCCTCTCACTAAGGACAGCCCTTGTAGTTTTTACATATTCAAATAACCTAACCTAATCTCTTCAAAATAACGAGCAATTTTAAGTTGAATTTTAGTTTTATGTTCTTAATAGAAGCATAATCATTTAGCTTGGGAAGGAATTATGTAGAAAGGACTTTTACCCCCTTCTTGATAAAAATTTTATTTATATTATTTTGATGATTAAACAGCATATGCAATTTTATATGTAAAAACAACATGTCAAATGATAAGCAAAATAAAATATGGTTGTTACACATGTTAATTATACACAAATTCCATCAAAACTGATTTTTCCAGATGGCAAAATTGCTTTAATATGAAGTCATTGAAAGGCTTTATATTCACCTCTTTTTAGAATTGCTGTACTTTTTATGCTTCACATAGGACTACTGATTTTTAAGTTTATTTTGCATAACTTCAGAGTTTTCTTAAATCTTTAATTTTCATAATTACATAAATAAGTTAATAAATCACATAAAAATAACAATGATAATAAAAGTACTCATTGCTCTCTAAAAATGTTCAGTTTCCGAAATTCTCTTCTCAAATACAGACTGAATTAGAGGTTAGACTGAATTAGAGGTAGCCATAGAAAATTTTGGTATTTTTCCATTTCGCCAGCGCATATCTCGTCAAACAGACTTTATTGGCAACAACATACAGTGTACACATAAAAAATGTTAACAAATGTTAGGTCTCAGATTTTTTTTATATTGAAGGCATAAACATTTTAATATCGTTTAAAATTTTGTAAAATCTAATAAATATAGACAATATATTTGTAAAAAGACATTAATTTAAGAATTTACTATGTTTTCATGGTTCAACATCCTGATTCGCCGGTTCATATCACGGGATACCAAGTGATCTCATCTCACATAAACTATGCTACAAAAATCTAATTTTCCCACTAATCATCTACATTAATTTCAAGTTAAATCTTGATTTGAAATGCAAGTTTAAATGCAAGAATTATTTCAATTCATATGAATAGCTTACTCAGAAATTATGTAAAACTGCAGTGCTTTATTTCACTTGTGCGTTCTCATTAGAATTGATGAATTTAACCCTTGACTTTGCCTTTTCTATATTTTTGCTTTCGGGTGAGCGGTGTGATTGCATTCTAATTGACTAAATTACCGCAAATGGTCCTAGAGCACAAAAGTGAACTATCTGCTAAAATTTCTATCTAATTGTATGTCAGTATTGAAAGAATCAATCTGATAAGAAATGGCTGCGACTTGTTTTAAAAATGAGGCATAAAAGGTTACCAGCGAGGATATTCCATTTGGAATCAGTTGTATGATTATTCGTGACTTTATCACCTGCGGCAGCAAAACAGAAAAGTACCCAAATTTTTTCATGGAATGTAAAATTTACATATTGATATAACTGCTGGTATAAAAGGAGAGTCTTATATCACCTTTTGCAATTATTAGAAATATCGTAAAATTATTTTATAAGCAGGTTACTCAGTTTCAGGGTGATTTTTGTATAAGCTTGATTTTATTTTAACAGAATTGTCCTTTTTTTTGTAAATCAAGCTTATATCTAGTAAAAAATGATGGAATAAATACTTTTTTATTCATCATATGTAACTTCAACAAAAATTACACAAATTAAAAAAGCATTTTATTTTTAAGAGACAAAACAGAACACAAGCAGAGCGATTGACATTTGCTTATGGACACTTATGTTTTTGATTTTATTTGCAAATATCAGTTATTAAATATTAGCAAAATGGTTTTACTTTTCTTTAACCTATGCTATAAATTATCTTTTTTAAAACCGGCTGCTTGTTTAGAAAAATGTTATTCAAAACAATGGTGATAAAAAAAATAATTTACACAAAAAGATCTGAAAATGAGCTCACATTAAGTATTCAGATACTTTGAACTTGTTTATATTGAATACAAATATGAAAATAACAGGAAATTCAAAATTCCTTTGGATATCCTTTAACTAAAATTACATTTTTCATGTACTTATAGATTCAACTTTAGGTTAAAATAAATTTACAAACATTACACTGATTCTTGTTGTTTAACTTCTCCAACAATAGATTCAATTACTTTTTCATACTAGTATTTGAATGTTTTACATCAAAGATTGTTTGGATAGTTCAAATTCTTTTGCCCTTTTTAAAATGATGAATAATTACATTTATAACAGAAATTTTCATTAATTTTTCTTTGTAAGAATTGCTTTTAGAAGAATTTTCAAAGAAATATCATGCTTCCTTATTCTTTTCTCAACTTACTCTGTTTATTATCAATAGGATTTAAATCATGAGAAATGGAGGAGTTTTGATAACTTCAGGGCAGTTGCATAAAAATCAGGAGTTAATGTTTAAAGTTGTATTTTTAGGATTGCTTTCCTGATAGAACTTAATTTTTTTTACATTCTAAGTTTTTATTAGGAATACTTATATATTTATATTAAAAATATTATTTTCTATAAAAGCTAAAATTTCCCATTCCAAAGACAGCAAAATATCCCCAAATCATTATGACACCACTTCCATGCTTAATAGCAGAGGTAGGACACCACACAGTAATTTGTCCATCAGTTCCAAATATATTAAATTTTGAATTGACTAAAAATTACATTGTTCCAATAAGATAAATCTTTGCTTACCATGGATTTTGCCCATGCCAGGTGTATTTTCTTTATTAACAAAAAATTTATTTCTTGCTGATTGCCCACTCTATACATATGACCTAATGCCTCAAATAGTTTCAGGATTAATTTTTATTTCAAATCAGTTGGAAATCCATTGCAAGTTTTACAGCACTAATTTTGAGCCATTTGATTTTTAATGGGATAAATCTGATTCCTTGGTGTAGTGTGGAATGTGGTCCAGACTTCAGTGTATTTTCAACAGTTCCACACTGTTTTCCCTGATTTTGATACATAAAAGACTACCGATTGCTTCACATCAAGGATTGTTTGGATATTTCAAATAAATCTGCCCTCTTTAAAATGGTGAAAAATTACATTTATAACAGAAATTTTCATTGATTTGCACAATAAGTATCTTATTATAATACACAATAAGTATCTTATTGTGTTCACTAAGATATGAGACTATTAATATACTAAACAAGTAATTTCCAAATGCAGATGAAAATTCTAGTGATGTATTTTCATTTAAACCAAAAAATTCTGACACGAAACATCACCTGTCCACAGATATCAATAAAATTTCAGACTGTCTGAATTATTTTGTGTTTTATTAATTGTCACTTTTTGGTTAAATTATTTTATTACAAAATATTTAGATCATATTTATTTTGCAATAAGCAAGGCTTAAAATAGAGAAAAATAATACATTAGAAAAAAAAATCAAGTCAATGTTTCAGTATTTAATACAAGATCTAGGCAAATAAATTTCAAAACACAACTGTCCGGAAACAAATATGAGTTACTGTAATGTGTTGCCTTTTTGTTGCAAATGCAGATGTTGAAAAAATTAAAACAAAAAGTTAAAAAAATTAAATTTTTGGGTAAAAGTTTACAATTGGGTGCCCCTTGTTTTTTGGCGATTCTTTTTTTATGCCAAGATCCGCACTAGGAAGGCACAATTTCAAGATGGCCGCCACACAAAATCAAAATAAGAAGTTGAAGAATTGCACAAACTCTGTGTTCATGTACACATCGATCTGTTTTCACTTAAAAAAGCATCCTAGAATTGCCCAAATTAGGCATTGTGCACTGCCTTAAATTTGTCCATGTACACATCAATCTATTTTATTTTAAATAAAATCAGGAAGCTAAAACTATCACGGTAACTAGAAGTGAGGTTTCATTGCCAAAATTAAAAAAAAAAAATTTTCGCTAATCGAAGAGGCACTCAATTCTACACTAGAGCGACTCTTTGTTGCAAAAAGCGAGTTGTTTTCATATCTTAGTGAACACAATAAGATACTGCAAATTAATGAAAATTTCTGTTATAAATGTAATTTTTCATTATTTTAAAGAGGGCAGAATTATTTGAAATATCCAAACAATCCTTGATGTGAAGAAATCAGTAGTCTTTCACGTATCAAAACCAGGGAAACTATGTGGAACTGTTGAAAATACACTGAAGTGCTCTCCAAGAAAGAGGAATTAGTAATCTGGATGACAGAAGTTTCCGTAATTGCAATTCTTTATACAATGAAATTAGACTTAAAAAATGCTTCAACCTACTAACATATATTCAATATCTTTTCCTGTATCATCTCGAGAAATTCCTATGAAAACACATATCCCATTTTCTATAGAGCTGACAACTTCGTCATGTACTACATTAAAGGAAGAATATTAAAACTGTTAAAAGTAAGTCAACAAATTTATATTACATTTTCCTAAACATATAAATTATATGGATTTCCACGAGGAAACAGCTATGAAATGAATTTTAATTTAAACAGTTTCTAAACCTTACACATTATCATCTTTCATTTTTAAAGTCTTTTAAATTACACAAATTATTATTATTATTACTTTACTTCTGCATAAATCCCCATACAGCTTGCGCTCTGCGAATTGTAGTAGATTTAGCTTACCCAGGGTCCACCAGGAAGAGGCCTACTAAACTACCCAGGCCGACTTTTGCATAAAAAATTATTTGCAATCATTTCTACCTATTTTCCGATTATTACACTCAATTTTATTATTCTACAGATTAATTTTATAATTTAAAAATTAAAAAACAAAATGCTGGATTTGTAAAAATAAGTATTAAGCTTTTCATATAATTTAAATCAAAAGAAAAATGAAAAGATAAGTTAAGAAGTTTAATTGTACTTGAATTAGAAAGAGGAATTAGTAATCCGGATGACAGAAGTTTCCGGTAATTGCAATTCTTTATAGAATGAAATTAGACTTTAAAAATGCTTCAACCTACTAACATATATTCAATATCTTTTCCTGTATCATCTCGAGAAATTCCTATGAAAACACATATCCCATTTTCTATAGAGCTGACAACTTCGTCATCAACTACATTAAAGGAAAAATATTAAAACTGTTAAAAGTGCATGTGAAAATTTCTATTTTTATATAAAATCAATATTAAATACAGTCTAAAATGAAAATTTTCTATCACCTATCACACTAGCGCTTTTACATCTTTGAACTACAGCACGCATTTTATTTTGTAAGACAAGAAATATAGCAATTTTTTAATGCTAAAAAATTTGAAAACACTTCAGAAACACATAGCACACATTCGATAAACAGATGATGAAAGCAATTCTTTTGCATTTTTTAGGTCTTTTTAATTAGCAGAGTGAAAATGCCCATAAAAGAAAGTATTGATAATTTTTATAGAATTATTTTTATTGTATTTTTATTAAAAGATAAAAGAATCAGATGAAAAATGAGGAATAATGTTACAAAAGAATTAATTAAATACTTTCATTACAAAATGTAATGACAGAAGAAGCTTGCAGAAAAGATCAACTGCTAAATCCTCAACTAGTTTCTGTTCATTACTATGTAGTCTTCTTTAGAATAGTGCATTGCTTTCAGTTTGTGAAAATTTTTAAACATTATGCAACTGCATAATTCTTTTATTCAAAAGAGCATCTGAATAATTGTGATTATTTCTATCTAACATTTAAAGTAATCTTTTAACCGTATCCGCAAAACCGTGTGAGCAGCCGAATTTTAGCAAATATTGACACTATGCGCGCTGTTATACAAAGATGCAAAAATGCTAGTGTTGCAGGTTATAAATAACTTTTTTTTTAGTTATGTGTTTGTCATAATTACATAGATTAAGTTATTCATATGATTGAAATATTTCTTATTTCTGTTATAGTTGATGATGAAATTATCAGCAGTATAGGCAATGGGATCTGCGTTTTCATTGGAATTTCGAGGAATGATACAAAAAAAGACATCGAATATATGTAAGTAGTTTAGTTTGTGGAATTTCGTAAGTTTGGTGTGGATGTTTTCTAAAGATAGAATTATGTTAAAATTCTAATTGTCAAATAATTTGCAGTTGGAAAGGTATGAAAATTCAAAATGTTTGTTTTTTATCGTAAATAACAATTCACCGCGGTTGTTATGTATGTATTCATAAAATTTTAATAAAAACAAGTATTAAGTTACATATATATATATATATAATTGATACTTTTAAATTTATGGAGACTTGAATTCATAGAAAATGTGCTTATTATAATTTTTGGAAATAAAGTTACATCGGCATGTTTTGCGAATTTGTACGAGGTGAAAATGATGCAATAAAAGATCGATTTAAAACATTTGTTTATTGGTACCTAAAATCTTTCAACTAAAATAATATGTTTTAATAACTAAAGTAGTTTACAGTCAAACAAAACTGAATCTTAAATTGGCATGATTTTATAAAATAACAGCCTAATTCGGTTGATCTTTGGATTATGGTAACTTGGCGATTTTTTGGCGACCAACTCTGCTACAGCAACCCTCTATTTTTTTTTTTTTCCGCCGCCATTTTGTCTTCACGAAGTAAAGACATGTTTCTTTTTTTTTTATTTACTCAACACTTTTTCCAACAATCTACTAGCCGAATTACACTTATGCTAGAAATTTTATCTAACAAAAACTGCTTAATCATGACAAATATTCACTGCAAAATTGTGAAAAAGTGCACAATAGCAAACTCCTTGCGCGTTTTTCAGAATAACACATACACATAAACCATGTACACGTCGACTTATTTTTACTTAAAAAAACATCCCAGAATTGCACAAAAATAGCATTGCACACACTCTTCACTATATCCATGTACACTGCTTTTTTCTCATAAATTAGAAAAATTTCACGAAAATGCATGACAATTTTCTGAATCTTTAAACCCGGTAAAAAGGGTATATAAAAAGTATATACCCTTTCCAAATATTAACATTTCCACGTATAAAATAAATAAAATATCCAAAAACTTTTACCTCCAAATTATCTATTATATTATAAACGTCACCAACGAATTCATACCGCAAACATTACAAATGGTTACAAATACTTAGTGTCAAATATTTAAATTATTTCCATGCACGTTTACTTCAACTGAAATGTATACCAAATTCCTACAAACATAAAATTCACAAAATAACTATCATTTAATTAAAATATCACTAAACCATGTACACGTCGACTTATTTTTACTCAAAAAAAAAAATCCCAGAATTGCACAAAATGGCGGTGCGCGCACTCTTCACTATATCCATGTACACTGCTTTTTTCCTCATAAATTAGAAAAATTTCACGAAAATGCATGAAAATTTTGTGAATCTTTAAATCCGGTAAAAAGAACATATATGAAATTACCTGATCGCGAAAAAGTAATACCCTTTCCAAAGATGAACATTTTCACATATAAAATAAATAAAATATCCAAAAACTTTTACCTCTACATTATCTATTATATTACAAACGTTACCAATTAACTCATACTGCAAACATTATAAATGGTTACAAATACTTAGTGTCAAATATTTAAATTATTTCCATGCACGTTTACTTCCACTCTAATGTATACCAAATTCTACAAACATATAATTCACAAAATAACTATCATTTATTTAAAATATAATTAAATTCCAAAAAGACACTACTTAAATATAAATAAGCACGTACATTAAAATTAATAAAAATTAGCTTACAATCCTAATTACTTTAAACTAAATCATTGCTAATAACAATTTTCCAATAATACCGAATTACTTTACTTCTACCTTACATTTAGAACAATGCATAAAATAATATCCTCAAATAATTAAAACTATAACTTACCTAATCTTCTTCAGAATCTTGCTTACATGGTGGAACACTTTTTATTATTGATTCAATAAAAATTATTGAACGATTTTTTTTCTGCGAATTTTCCTCCAACTCCTCCGCTAAATAAAAAGCAAAATTCCTCTTTATCACAATGCCTCGGAATGGCGCTTTGTATAGCACTCCACGTGCCCTCTATTGTACTGGTATGTGCACCTGTTTCCGAATCTTTAAAATAATATTAGACAGCACCATACAAACCGAAAATTATTCAACACTACTTCACACAACACACAATGAAGCTTAATACAAAATAATATACTGCCACAGATATTTTTCCAAATTCCCCCTCCCCTTTTCCGATTAAAGAACTGTAATTTGTCCATTAATATCACATGACATATCTCATAATCTCTCATTTCCCTCACACAAAATAATGCGTAATCGGAACTGAGTACTGCTCACATTATTATTATTATTAGTCCTAGGTAGTAACATTTATCGCCTCCAAAATGTCGCCAAACTACCAGTTACCATATTCCAAAGATCAGCCAATAATGGTTCCCATATGTTCTGTAAAATTCTTCTGTAGAACATATGCTAAGCTTTCTCGAAAAATGTAGTTTGCTTAACCTGATAAATCAGACTGACTGCAGCTTAATTTAAAATTTAAAATTTGCATACTTTCTTTATATTTTAACTGCCATACTTTTATTTACAGTACCCACCAGATTTTCTGCATTTAAAGAATTAGTATACCGATAAATTAGTGTTTTTATTTTTGTATCTGTCAAATTCCAATATGTCATTTTAGTAATGTAAAATTTTTCCAATTTGAATTAAATAGTGTATTAAGCAGATATTCTTATTTAAAAAGTACTCCCATCTGAAAAATGAGTAGTTTTTCAGAATTTTTCATATTTTTAATTCTGTGTGTTAAATATAATTTGCATTGAATCTAATTATAAACTTTTACTTCTTTTAAATTTTCAATTTTAGTTTTTTTGACATGGATTTTTTTTTTTTTTTTTTTTTTTTTTTTTTGTTAAGACTGCACCATTGCACCATTCATTGTTTACAGTGTATAAAATTTTAAATTTGTTATTTTGGTTTCCTTCTGCATTCACTGTATTTAGTTATTTTAACTATTTAAGTGTAAATATTCTGCGTTTTAAATTTAACAAATTTTAAAATATACCTTTATCATTTTTATTATTAACTGTCATTTTTCATTTTAGGGTTAGAAAATTACTAAATTTAAGATTATTCTCGGATGAAAATGGGAAAAGATGGTCTCATAGTATAAAAGATAAACAATATGAAATTTTACTTGTAAGTCAGGTCAGTATTTTAGAATCATTTTCTTTTTTAAAGCAGACTTATTTAATAGTATATGTTACTTATGATGTAAATAAAAAAATAAATGAAATAAAGGCTAAAAAATATAGCCTTTACACTTTCGTTGCACCAGTGCATGATGTAGCAATTACGCATTAGTGCATAGTGTGGAACGATGTCTCAGTAGCCAATCACGTGTTCGCACATTAAGAGCTGTGCTTCAACATTTATTCTCAGCTTCAGTTGGCATTATATACTTATGTTAGGTATGTCGGCTAATCTTTGGAATATGGTAACAGGTAGTTTTGCGACATTTTGGTAAGGCGATAAAGGTTACTAGCTAGGACTTTAGCAGTGTACATGGATAAAGTCAAGAGTGGGCCATGTCATTTTTGTCAATCTGGGATTTTTTTAGTGAAATTGGTCGACGTGTACATGGAACCGTTATGTGTAATTCTTAAAAACACGGCCAAGCGTGGCGATTTGCACTGTCTTCCAATTTCCACCTAATCTTCATCTTGATTAGCACTTTTGTTCTATAAAAGTTCTAGCATAAGCGTATTGGCTAGTGCATTGTTGGAAAAAACTTGAGAAAAAAAAAAAAATTCCTACTTCCGTGAAACAAAATTGGCACCAAAACAAAACTGGCAGGTTCTGTAGCAGAGTGCTTGCCAAATTTTCGCCAAAAAATCGCCAAGTTACCATAATCCAAAGATTAACGGGTATGTGTGCTGGTATTGGCATAGATTACAGTTAGAAGCTAGTTGTAAAAGTATCTGGTTTTGAATTTATAGCTTTATTAATAATTAAAAAATCTTGTGATATGAGTTGTAGCGAAAATGATTCTGCAGGGCTTCCGTGCCCCCAAAATAGAAAAATGCAATCTAATAAACTTCTAACAGATGACAAAATTCCAATTTGTTGGCTGAGCTTTTGTATGAGTACCTGAGTGATGTTAGTTATGAGACTGATGAGGAATTCATTCATATTGAAGGATTCTGAAGAGGAAGAGTTGCAAGATGTTCAAGGGGCAACATACCACCAGCATGATATATTTGGGAAAAAAATCCCCCCCCACAGAAATGACCACTTTTTTCACAAAATCAAAATGTCTGTTGCAACCTATTTCAGGTACAATCCAGCGGATTTCGTTCACCATTTATTTACCAAAAATATCCTGAATGAAGCAGTTGCTCAAACCAATGAATGTGCTGATAAAATATTTTGTTACTGTGAAACAAAGAAACATTCTGGGGAAGGAAAACAAAAAAAATCTAGTATATTTGTGGGATTAATTTTGTATATAGGAAATATAAGAATAAATCACATTCAAGATTATTGGAAATTTTCAATTTAGTTTTACAAGAGTTGTTTTTTTCAGTGCCGGAATGGACTTAACTGCTGTGGGAGGCACGAGCCACCTGAGTGAAAACCGGACCGAGTAGGATGAAATATATAAAATCAGCACTCCGGTGCCGTGTTCCAATGGGAGTTGGAACTGGAAGGTATTTCTGGAATGGAGCTATCCCTTGGGGTTGCGCTGTATTTGTTGCACCACTCCTTTTTAACATATAGTTCCAGTTCTGTGCCGGCACCTAAGCTTCATTCTAAAATTTTGGTGTATAACGCCATGGTGGACGCTTAAGTGGGCAAAGGATATGAACTGAAAGGTCTTGTGATAGCAAATTCTTTATGGGTTTCAGTCATAAAAACATGAAGACATTTCCAGAAAAGCGGTTAACCAGGGGCAAAATTCAAAACACACAAAAAAAAAGGCCCCCCGTCGCCATGGTCGGATATGGTGTCTTTCTTGGCAAATAGACCGATAGAGAGGTCTTGCTCTGATGAAACATCGAAACAACAACAAAAGAGGCAAAAAATAAAATGCCCCCCACTACCTGTCGATACTATATAAATTTATGACAGGTATGATAGCCCGCCCAGAAGCTTTCCTATTATCCATGTTAAGGAAAAACTATTAGATGGTCTGCTAAAATCCTCCATACTGATGATGCAACTAAGCATTTGCTTTGTGCGGGGAATCAGATTCAATGGGCGCGCAAATGTTCGAAATGCATTGTCTTTCAGCATAACGATACATTAAAAGATGACAAGAGTTTTAACCTAAAACAGGTTTATATGATTAAGCCTTATTGTACTTGAGGCAATTTCTTGCGCACTCTAACATTATATCCTCGTGCAATCTTCTTTATAAAACACAATTTCATTTACTCACTTTTTTTTTTTTTTTTTTTTTTTTTTGTGTGTGCATCATTCAAAAGTCCAGGATATCATATTCATCAATGATTTTTAAATATCCAGGAGATCATATTCATCAATGATTTTAACATATTTGCTTCTAATAGCTTGTTTTATTATTAGTGTGTTTAAAAAGACTGTAAGGCTGTTGAATTAGATTAAATGAATAGGCTACTGAATGTTAGGGCCGGATTTACATATAAGCTACACAAACTGTAGCTCTTCTTATAACAGACTTATAAAGGGTCCCATATCTCAAATAGCTTAGGGCCTTATCAAGCCTAAATCTGGCTCTGAATGTAATTAAATTTAAATGGATAAACTGTTGAAGAAAATAATATATAAAAAGCATCACTTGAATATGTTTTCCATGTTTAGTTACTGATGTCAGTAGATAATTTGCTTTATTTTATTATACAATGAATCTGTGATCAACTATTCAAGTGATAACTAGTCATGTATTTTTTTTTTTTAAAAAAATACTGTTTGCATTTCATATTATCTACAGTTTCACATAACTAGGCAGCTTGAAATGTGTCATCCATAAAAAGAGACATTACTGTATTTAATTAATCCATCTAATTACTGTATCTACTGTATTGCCTTAATATGATGGTCTATGCTTAAAACTTAACTTTTTGCAGTTCACTCTTCATTGCACCTTGAAAGGGAATAAACCAGACTTTCGCTTATCTATGGGTCCTGAAACTTCAGAAGAGTATTATTCTGATCTTGTTAAATCTATGAAACAGGCTTACTGTGAAGAACATGTAAAAGGTATTTCCAGTTTTCAGTATTTGTGTTAAATAATTTTTTAAAATCTATCTTACAAAAAATTCCTTTGAAGAACATTTATTGAGATACACACCTTAATATTAATGCCACTAACCCCCTTCCCTGAAATACACAGAAATGCTGGAAAAGAAGAATAAAGTTGTTACTATAATTCTTTTAGTGTTCTGAGACTAGCTGTACCTAACTGCATCATAGATTAATAAAAATGAATGAAACTTGAATTTTGGGAAAGAAAAAGGGGAACAACAACCTCAAGAATTCATCTACAGCTGCCCATAAATGGGTACTTTTCAGTTAACACTTGGACTGCTATCTCATGATGTCCATGTGCAACATAAATGTAGCAAAATTTGCTCATCCTGTGATATCTTTAGGCATAGATTTGCTACTTCTATTAAAAGCCTATACATGGTATTATATTATACATGGAATGAGCAAGAAATGCTCATTCCATGTATTACCATCGGTAATGCATTTTGTGTTGTATTTAGACTTTAAATCATGTTTTATTCAACAGATGGGGTTTTTTTCTGTCCACTGAATAGCATATATTTGCTTAAAGTTTATAAATAAGTATGTAGATTTCAGTACTGTTCCTGTTATCGAGACTGGATTCAGAAAATGTGTGTATGTGTGTATAGATGTAGTGCTCATGTATGCATGTATATACAGGGTGATTATAAATTGTTTTTAGAAATTAAGTGGGGTTATAGTGCTCATCCAGATTAGCAATAATTACCATAAAACATAGTGTTGCATTCCACACTGAGAGGCAGGAAAGAGGAATATTAGAATTCCAACTTGAACTTACAACAGTGTTGGGAGAGCAAAGGAACAAGACCAAACGTTGTGCTATCAGTTTAGTGAAAGGTGCACAGAGAGTGCACAAAAGGGATAAAACTGAAAACTCAGCATTTGAGTGTTAATTTGAGCTCAGACGTTGATGGCAAACACTCAAATGCACATCTTTGATCTCAACCTCGCAAACGATTGCAACAAGTTAATTATCTAATTGAAGGCTGAATATTTTCAACTAACTCCAACTTCTGCTGTATGTCGAGATTAGAATGAAAAGTTCATACTGTGTTGCGACTGCCAGAACTTCGTGTCTCATAGAAGGGCACTTCAAGTAGAATAAGCGCAGTGCAGGAAGTCCAGGAGGACAGGATAGAAGATGGCGAAGGGAAAAAAAAAATTGCTATCTTGATAACATCAAACCTACCTGGAGTTGAAGTTAGTTGATATTATTCAGCCCTAGATTAGATAATTAACTTGTTGCAATCATTTGTGAAACAAAGATGTGCATTTGAGTGTTTGCCAAAGTCTGAAGTTCCTTTGTTTACTCAAAATAAGATTTAACAGTCAGCCCCTTTCTTAAGGCATACAGAAAAGCCTCCACTTGGGCTTAAACTGAAAAGGAAAGAAATAAGAACTAGCTAATAACTAACTAAATAGATTTAGCCAAAGCTAACACAATTCTAAAGTAATTGGCTTATAATCTTAAATTAGCCAGCAAACTATAAAAAGGCACGTAATACGGCTGAGCATAACAGCAGCTTAGAGAGACTTAGCCCAAAGGCAAACACATGCTACTCAGGAATCCTAACTCTCTCTCTTGAAGTCAGTTGAACTTGACTTAAACACTATTCTCCTCCTCATTTGCATTTAATGCAATTCTAAAAACTTATTCTGGTATGGAGTTTTAAGTTGAAACTAGGTAAAATAGGAAAAATGCATTAACTTAAAATAACTGTTATAAAATTAAAATACACCTTACAATATGCAATGTATTTGATTGAGAATTGTTTCCATGAAATATATTATTCAGTATTATAAAAACTTTCTGTTAGCATTGTAAATTTAAAAAATGAAACTAATTAAAATTAAATCTAGTACCATACTTCCCAAAAGATTTTATATAAACTGATTGCTACCATTTGTCAAATGGAGATATGTGCATCAGTTTGTGAAAGAAAAATCAGAAATGCTGTTTCAATCAGATACTTTAATATTCTAAACTAATGAAAATTTTGAAAATTTAAAATTGTAATACTCTTTTATCAAGAAACTTTTAACTTGAATATGTTAGAAATAATTTTATCCAATATATCATATATAATGGATATTTATACATATGTGAAATATTCTAAATTTTAGTCTTAGACAAAATGAAAGGGCAAAACTTTTCAATTTTTGAAAACTAATTTTATTTTTCACTTAGTTACATTAAGATCATTTATTCATGATAAGAATATAATGAAGTTGATCACAGTTTTTGTTGTTATACTATCTGTTTGTATCTCAAAACCATATTTTTTTTTAATTTGATGAAGTACTAAATTGTAATTGCTATGTACACTGAGTCACATTTTTAGATAGAAGATTTTGTAGTATGTTCATGGTCATCCCACTTTCATTCTTAATAAACTATGAAGTTTGTGTGAATTATTTTACATAGAAATGAAAAGCAAAATTCATACATTGTTTGTGTTATAAATGAATCAGGAATGTTGTATTCCAAAAATTTTGAACATATGTAGTTTCTTCCCAGTGCAGTTCTCATCGGTGGAATGGATTAGCAGCAAGCAATAAATATGGCATTGCTTTCTTCTCTTCTTGTTTTTAATTTTTAGCTCGTACTGATGAGTTTTTTCAGCAATAAATCAAACTTAAACTGTACAATTTTCTTTCCCCCACCTTTAATGATTTTTAGCTTTATTTTTCTTATTAACTTTTATTTGATCTACATTGTCTTAATCTGTCATATACATTTGTAGAACTTCATATGAAACTGAACTAATATTTAATCAATAAATATTTGTATTTAATTTTGTTGTACTTTAAAATATGTTACATTACTAACTTTATCCATGCAATAGTATGCACCGTAATTATTAATTTTATTTTCATCAGGTTTAAAAGTATTTTGATAAAATAAATCTTTCATTCCCAGCTTAGGATTTCTTCAGATTAAACATGTAAGAAAGTTACAAATTGAAGTTAACCAGTGAAATAAAATTTAGTTTATCTAATTAGGTTTTAGCATATTTTACATTCTATTATTTTGGGAAATTGAATTAATTAATTTAAAATTTAATCTACCCTCAGTTATACAGTTTTTAAGAATTGTAGTTCTGACTAAAATGGTTCTTATATGCTAAAAGGTATGAAATTTGCATTAATTTTGCTGTGGTAGAATAGTTTAGCTACAAGCAGTGGATAAAGGAGTTCACTTAATTGTGGTTAAGTAAATTAAATAAAGCAGGGATATTGATTAAATTAAAGTTCATTTACCTCATTTATGGTATAATTCTTAATAATTGTAGTTCTGTTTAAAGTAGTTAACTTCTGCAGAAAGATATGAAATGTGCTTCTTTAAATTTTACTTTCCATGCAATGCATTATTTTTTAATACAAATCATAAATAAAAGTTTTCAGAGTGTGCTCAAAATTGCTCTTTTTACAAGTAGCAAAAGATTTTAGACAGTCATTGTGCATTAATACATAGCTACATGGGATGTTTGTTTATTTAATTTTAGAAATAAGTGTATAAATTGGTACTAATATATTAGTGAAATAAAATCAAAACTTGAATATATTTTATTGCTTTCAGATGGGAAATTTGGAGCATATATGCAAGTAAATATCCAGAATGATGGGCCAGTTACAATAAACTTAGAATCTCCTAGTGAATCTAAGGTATTTGTTTTTATTTTAAATGTAATTCAAAAGATAAACTACCTATCTTTTTTAAATGCTTGAGCTAAAAAATTATATTAAAAAGTTATTAATTCTGTTGTATCCTGTTTTTATTGTCATATTGTTTATAGTGGAGGAATCATTCTCCTAAAAATAATTTAATTTAAATATGTATTTTTTAACATTCCTAATTGCTGAATCACCTTTCATGAATTCTGAATTCCTTTAAAATATTTGAAAGTATTATTGAAAGTAACAAATGTTTGTAAAAATAATGATTCAAAATTATATTTAAAAAGCATGAAATAAATTACTATAAATTAATTAAAAGAATAATAAATTAATCAAAAGAATACTACTTGAGAGAGGGATCAGGAGTATAGTTTAGTGTATGCAAAGACCACTTGACTCAGTACTATCAAAATAAATAATTACAAGTCAGAAATATAGGTATCTTAATTTAGCTTAGTTAGAATGATATATTTTGTTATGCAAATATACAATAACTAGATCCTGTGGTTCTAGTTATTGTAGTAGTAGAGTGCAGTTCGCCATTGTGATCATCATGGCACATTGAATATTCTCGCAGCATTTGTCAAGAGGATTTCAGTCAGATACCATACACAGTAAAAAAACTGATCTTTGTTTCAAGACTTCGTACTTGTGCTACTCAACAGACAGGACTCTGTTATGTATGTATTTTCCAATCTTGGATGTTGCTGGTGCAACAAGCCTATAATGCACTAAACATTTTTACTTGTATATTTAGAAATATACAAGTAAAAATACCTGAGGACATTCGTAATGTTAAAAGTGAAGTGCAAGATGTGCCACCATCAGATGGCAAGGAGTGGAAAGTTGAATTATGAGTGAATGTATTTACTGAATCAACTTAAAAATAAGGTCTTAAAATAAAGGAAACAAAGTCTTAACTTTGCAAATAAAAAAATAAAAATAAAATGAGGGTCTGAAAAACAGTCAGTTGTCAGTACAAGGAGAACTACCATTTAGTATTATATCATTTTTGTTCTCATAATAATACACTCAGTTGTAAGATCATAATTAGTAATTGCAGTATATTTCAGAATAGATGGAGATGGACATATCAAAGAAGTGGTATAAATACATTATAATCGTGAATGTTTGGTGTGTCAATGACTTGGTGAATAACAAAATTTCTAACAAAGCAAAGAGCATCAAGAACAATGTGTAATATTTTATTATGTTGAACTTCAATTATTTTTCTTATAAGTTTTGGGGGCAATTTACCAATGCAGGAATCACCTAAGTAAGAACTGGCCGGATGATAGTTAGGTAAAGCGTTTCCTAGCCATGAAGATGCAGTTTGGATTTTTTTCTGTTAAGACAGTAAATTTAGCCATAAAGGCTGCATTGCCTTTATTGTCTGCGTAAATTAAATTAGTCTTTAAATGTAATTTTTTTCATCAGATATGACACCTAAATATTTATGTGACTGAACAATTAGAAGAACTGTTCCATAAGGGTTAATTCTTGGCTCAATAAATAAATTTTTATAATATCTTCTAAAAATAAGAACATTACCATTGATTGTGTTTCACTTGATTTTCCAAATGGAACACCAAAGAGAAATAATGTTAAAAAAAGTTGTAAGTATGGCACTTTGAAGATTCAAATATTTGGTAATCACTGCAGTATTATCTGCATAATTAAGAAGAACTTTTGCACCAAGTGGTTCCAGCATATCATTATACAGATGTTAAAAAACAGAGGGCATAATACAGAGCTTTATAAAGTTTAATGATAAATGAACTTCTGCTAGCTTGTAAATGAGATCTTGGTGTCAAACACAGTCAAATGTCTTCTCAAAGTTACAAAAGCATTCTGTGATTGACTTCTTTTTGTAAAAAGATGCTGTGAAGAATTCTTAAGATTCTGTGCTGAATTGGTTCTTCTAACTAAGGTTCTTCTTTTCTAGATTTGTTTTTGAATAACTCTTTCAAATGCTTTGCTAATACAAGGTAAAAGGCTTGTGGGCAATGGCTAGAAGGGCATTTTGAGTCTTTACCATGTTTGGGAAAAATAATAATAATAACTCAATTGTGGAAAATAAAGTTAATAGAGACAAGAATTACAAATGTTTGTTAGCAATTAGTACAGTTTCTTATTAGTTCCTTTAGTGCTTTTTTATAAATTAAATCATAGCTTATGTGATGGCAACTTTTTAAATTTTTTATTAAATTAGATATTTCCTTTGGAGAATTCGCAAAAATATATTTATTGCCATTTCTGGCAAGAAAGCCTTAAGTGGAAAATCTCAATATCTTTCTTTTCATTGGTGCTCAGATTAAGGTGAAGGAGCTTTAAGTACATTTGCAGATATTTTAGCTATCTCAGATTCTAACCGAGCAAGCAAAATTTTATGTAATATCAGTCCAACAAAATTTATCTTAAGAGAGGAAAGAGATTTAGCTATTTTCCAGACTGTTATATGATTTAAATTTTCTATTATTTATTAATTTATTCCATTGATCAGAACAATATTTTGTTATTAGAAAGGGAATTTCATGTTGTTTAGCATCAAGTTGATGTTTGTAATTGGGTCTTTTGAAACTTTTTAGTGCTTGAAAAGGTAATTATCTTTCTTAATAACTTTCAAAATATGGTTACACAAGGAGGTATAAGTAGTTGAGGATTGAGTAATTGCATCTTTCATGATTTCATGATTTGTTGTAGTTATAACATTTTCAATATCCTTGATAATATTGTTACAAAATGTACAGGCGCGGTAAGATAGCTTCCCCGCAAAGCAGTTTTAGGGTTGCCATAAAATGGCAAGGGAAGGCAGGGTTGCCACATTTGGCGACAAAATTGGCGATATGCAATTGATGGATGGAAAACCTTCTGGAACGAATTCTTACTGGTTTAGCCCAGAATGTTCTCGAACACAAGCTGAAAGCTATATAAACCCTGCTGGTCCGCAGTCAGTTAGTGTGTGCCTCATCGAGTGCAAGTTAGTGTGTCTCGTCTAGTTAGTCCGTGTGGAGATGATCGAGTTGACAGCTGGCCAGCGAGTGCCGAGTGGGTCGTCAAGTGCATCAAAGAGTCTCACTGTGTTGCGGTTAGTGCACCATTGAGAGAGTGCATTAAGCTTCACTAACGACTGAACCGAAGAGTCGGGAGCTGTGCTCTGTGTGTCGTAAAATGCATCGCGAGTTGTAGCATGGAAAGTCTCGAGAGTACGTGGAGTTCTGAGTCGGGAGCTGTACTCTGGTGCTTTGCAGTGAAGCTGTCTCCACCATTATTGCCTGACAGTGTGAAGGCTGTGTCGCTGATTGTTCCAGTGTGTTTATTGTAGATCTTCGATTACTGTAAAAGTGTTTTGGTGCTGTCCTGATTGGTAAATAAAGTGTGTTTTGATATTCCATCAAGTGCTGTCGTCGTTATTCACTCCAAATCCACACGAACCTTGTACGAATGTGAAGGAAAAAATAACGTAACAATTGGTGTCAAGAAAAAAAATGTAACAATATGAAGAGATTTGTATTATTACGAGATAAAAAAGCTGTGAACATTATCCAATTAATTCTTTTGCTCTGAGTTGCATTTGGCAGATATATATCATAGAAAATAATAGAATAAGAAGGTGATCAAAAGGTAAGGCATCCTTAACTTCCAGGTGAAAAGTTTGCATAGTATTTTATTAGAAGAATGTCGAGCATTTCACCATTGCTGTTAATGTCATATCTTGTAGTTGAAGGACCAATAGTTTTGATTCTATTTTGAACAGCATATTCCCCAAAATGCTTCCATTAGCATTAGGGGTTCTTGAGTTTCAGAGTTGACTTTTGGTACTGATGTTATCTGCAATAATAATTGGTAGATGAGAATGGGTAATATTATTAAGGTCTTACTGAGTAATTAGATTAGATGGAGCATTATAAACTGAAATAAGACATTGTTTTTTAAATTGCAGCTGCTGCATTGAAATTTGAAGTAAATAGGAAGGAATAAGGTTGATAATAATTTTGATAATTATGATTGTTCCTCCATCACAGTTGTTAAGTCTGTCATTCCAAATAATATTGTAGCTGTGGATTCTTTATCAGATGGCCAAAGAAACAATGTTGGGCCAATGTAAGTTCCTTTGTCATTATCACGATTCATCATTATAGACCCCCCAGTTCCTTTGGTGACAACTCAAAGAAATGGCATCAGATAAATATATTGAGAGATCTGTACTCTATTTTTTCCCTTTGATAAAAAAAAGGAACACAAAATTAGAAAAGGTTAAAACATGACAAAATTAGAATGAAAATATACAAAAGTGAAATAACAATAAATATGTTACGAAGCAAATCTTAAAAATTTTTAAACTTTGATGTAAGAAATTTTTTTTTTCAGAAAATAAATATATTTGTCCAATCTTAGAGAGTTTAGTAGCAATATTCTGTTCAATTGTTGTTAAGTTTGTATTTGGTTTGAATTTAGGCAAATCAGAGAACAAAAGCAAACTGCCCGCCCCAGGCGAACAAGGTGGCTGCATGGGCATTTTTGGGGTTTTCTCCATGTGTAACGTATATACGAGCCAGTTTCCTTAGAAAGTCCTCCACAAAGGCATTTACCCCATTAGGCAGACAGCCTTTGAGGCTTTGCCGTAACTACATAAACCAACCAAAACACTACAGGTCATGTCATATGTCATTATCTGATAACTGTTAGCCCATTTTCTTGCTTCAAAAATGCTGTTTACCAGAAATAAGATTTTAATGTGACATTAGGCTTAAATTAACTTTTATTTATTTAATTTCTGTTATCTCCTATTTTCTGTCTAAATTTTCTATATGAGTTTGTTAATTTGTTTAACTTGTTTTATCTGAATTGCATATAACTTCAGTCTTGAGCTGTTCTTGCATTGAACATATCTTGTCCATTTGTTATAATAATTCTAGAAAAAACACCATGTATCTATTATCTTTTTTTATTTGATGTTAAGAAATATCTCCAGTGGAGTCATAAAAGCAGAAGACATTACTTGTAATGAAATGGCCATAATTTGACAATCTTATTATACATGATTTATTATTACATGCATTTTTGTAGACAAAAAAGGGTTATCATTTATATGTACTCCTTTATTCTCCAAAATTAATTTTTTCATGAATTACTCAGTTATTTTTATCGTTGTGATAGAAGTTACCTGATTAAAACTTGCTTTTGTTAATGTTATAATATTCTACTTATTTTAACAATTTTTATGATTATCAATTTTGTTTTTTCAGAAGGAACAAGCCCCTTCAGAAAATGAAGTAGCAGAATAGGAATAACATCAGACTTAATTTAATATTATGTATTGTAAAACTGCGTATGTAAATAAATAAACTGCATTTTTCTCATTTTGGATTTTTATATTTAAATTCAGAATATGTTTCTTAAAAAGGTTTGATATTGGTAATTCTAAAATTCTTTTTAATTATGTTACATTCAAAGCCAGATTTTTACTTTGGACATAGTATTCTATTAACGAAAAATTTCGGGTATCATATTTAAATAGAAATATCTATTTTGACCATTCATGAATCCATTTGGATGATTTTTTTGCGTGATGTCTTTACGTAATGACATAATAAAGGAATATTTTTCTAAAACACTTTGTGAAATGGTATATGTGTGTACGTATTTATCTGGCATAACTCAAAAACAATTAGCCGTAGAATGATGAAATTTAGGATATGGGACTGCTATAACATCTAGTTGTGCAGCTCCCTTTTTTTATTATAATTGGCAGCACTAAAAGTATACATATATAGAGACAGAGGCACATCCATCATCTTATCCGGCTCAAGCCTTTACCTGGCCTTTACTTTCGCAATCGTCAGTCCTAGTATACTTCCATTTACAGAAGTGTTTTAAATGATGAAAATATTCTTTTTACAATGTCAGATTAAAAGAAAAAAACTATTTTCGACAATTTCGAAATCTGTCTTTTAATGTGGTCTCTCATTTTCTATACTTATATTTGGGAAAGTTTTATACTCCTTATCAAAAAGTGAAGTTTGACTCCCTGGCAAAAAAATTGATTCTGATGTTTAATTTCCAAATTGATAATATTTTGTAATTTTCAAAATATTACAAGTTTGAACTTTATTCATTTTAAATTTGACCTTAAGTGCAGCGAACAATGCATAATTTAATAGGCCATACAAAGAAATCATATCAGATTTTTTCCCCTACATTTTTATGGTATTATAAATGAATCTGTGATGCTGAAAAATAGTACTGGCCAAAAAACATTTTATCACAGAATAAGTAAGATTTATTTCCTGCTAATTCAACCATAGTGATTTCAGATATGAATTCAAAATTTTTGTTTTTGCTTGGAGATTTTAAAAATCTTCTCTCCCTCCATTAAATTTCTTGATAATATGTAAATGCATCTTAAGATTAGATGGGCATATTGAAGTTCAAGTGCTGACTCACTGAGAAGTTTTAAGTTACAAGAAATACTTTAATTTTTGTCTGTAAATTCTTTTCCTCTTTTAGTGTTGGTTTTTGTCCTTCACTTACATCTCTGTTTTCTGTATGTTATTAGTAATTTGCAGCAGATAACTATTTTGTTTTGTTTAGATTAATAACTTTGATTTGAAATTCACAACATAGAAAATAGTAGAAATTCTAATTGAGAGAAATAGACTTATTTAAATAATTATGTAAAATTTTAACTTATTTTTAAGACAAAAATCCAAAGAAATCATAGTTTTTGGTGAAAAATATTGCATTTTTCTTAAAATCAAGAACAATTTTGTAAAAATTAATATTGAAAAAAAGCTAACATATTGCAAAACCCATGACAGATATATGGATGGGTTAATTATTTGAGCAAAATAAGCATGTGCTTAGGAAAAGGTGCAAAGAAAGGGAACATCACAAAAGCTGCATAGGGACTTGAGAAAAGGAGGAACCATAAAAATTTCTCGTTGCCAGTTTTGCCTTGGAATTTGTTGTGCAGCTAAACCAAAACCAAAGGAGAAGAAATGGTGAAAAAACGAGCGTTATACTATAAATGTGTGTTGGGACACAAAAATCTTTTAAGTGTCTTAAGGCCTCTAAAACTCTTAACCTGACCCCGACTGTAGGAAGTGAGTGCAAGAATGCGCAATTATATCCCATGTTGATAAAATTAATTTTCCACCAATTTTATTTTCTGAGACTTCTGAAAGTTGCTTTTTGACTTCTGAAGGATTTGATCTACATTTTCAGTAATTCCTAAAAGAAATTAAAATGAACTTTCACCATTCAGATAAAATATCTAGAAATTTAATTTCCAACAGTTATAAAAATTTAAGACAGTTAATATCCATAGAAACGGTTGCAAACTTACAAAGAGCATCAAAGCTTATAAGCTGATGCGAGTATTCTCTGTATCTTTTCATGGTTTGCGTAGTTCGATAGTTATTTTATGAAATATATTTCAAATTGCCCCTTTTAACCAGTATAATACAGGAAAGGAAGCAAAGGTGATGAATAATGAGTACTGGATTAGATTACAACGCTTGTGCTACAAGAGAAAGATAATTTCTTGTAATCATGCATAAATCTGTCCACAAGAAAATTCTTAAAAAATTGAAGTTAAGAGTTAGAAGAAATATTTTTATTTTATCAGTGAAGTGGAATTTATTTTGCTTGTCTCGAAATATTTTTATTTTACCAGTGAAGTGGAATTTATTTTGTTTGTTTTCATTTTATGTCTAGTTCTTTTTGCTAATCAAGAAAAAGAGTATGAAATCAGTCGGATGTTCTAACTATCATTCTATTTCTTATTCAAGTTCTTTTTCCAGCGCTGCCTTTCTATACTACTTACCAGAAGAAATGCTCCATCATGAAGGAACGTTAAAAAACAGCCCGATTTGCAGACAATAGCAAAAGAAATAATTTAACTTTTTTTATATAGAAAAGTGCATTTCAATGCAAAGTCATCAGGAAAAAGTGGGACCTCATTTTTGGTCAATATGATGCTCAACCGTGGTGGCGATTTAATGGGCGTTCGAAGAATAACCCGGAGTAACGAGCAATGTAATATCGATCTGAATCCACTGTTTATCTGTATTTCATGGGATTAGAAGAATATTCAATTAACGTCCATTCGTGTCCCGTACATTCTAGACTGGTTAAAGATCAGAGCTCGGGTTAACTATCTGCATATCCTGCATAAGCTTGATTTGAGCTATATTTAGCCCGATGTTTACTTGCCAAAAAATTACGTTTGAGACATCCTGCAGATGTGGTAATACCACAGGCCGTAGTATCTCATCAGTATTCTCGCGAATCATTGGTTTGTCTAAAGTGAGCGGGTGCTTGCGTTAATAGCTGCCCAGACTATGACTGCACATTGAGGTATGTGTGTTACTGTAAACGGCTGAGAAATTTGACTAATACCCAGTACCAAAGTCATCTTAACGTATGGGCCCGCTGGGCACATACCTGAGGTACCCATGCTAACCCATTTACATTTAATTTCTGTCAATGGTTGTTGCAGGGGTCGCAGCACACTGATTTGCCTAGGAGCCCATAATGCTGTTAAAGACGGAACTGCCCAAGTCGCATTTAGACTTCTATATGGTAACTGATCATCAATATTGAGACTGAAACAGAATTTTGTCGCTGAACGCTATATTGCTACATTCTGCACCACACGTAGCTTTGGTGCAACACCATTGCGGCAGAATTAAGCGTATAATGCTAGTTTTTGTCTGAAAATATTTTTAATTTATCATTGCATGAAGTCTGCTTCTGTTGTTCATTATCAAACTGAGAGTAATAAATTTTAATTTTAATTTAATTAAATTTTGTGCAAAACTAAACATTTTAAAAAATAAAAAATAATGAGAAAAAAAAATGAATGGTAGTTTGTCTTCTTTTTGTAGTATATAATAGACTATTTTATTACCTCTCAAAAATCTACATCTGCATTATTTGTTGAAGAACATTGAAGCTGTCGTAAACTATGTTAATAGCATTAACACTTATAAGTGTTCAACTGATCTAAGAAAGAATTACAATATCTGCAATTTATTGGCATTCTACTTGAAATTAAGATGATCTTGACCATGAACTAAATCCATTACTTGTGTAGGAAGCTATATAATGTGTGTTAATACTCATTCTTTCATAATTTAAGTTCTAGAAGCAGGCTTTACGTGCAAGAGCGAATTTTTTTGCAAGATTAGTTACGCTGGTAGACTTCAGATGCCTTATTTAATAGCTAATAAACGGTTTAGATTTCTTAAGCGACTATGCCATTAGCTATTTTAAGTACTAATATGAAGCCTGAAAATCCTCCGTAAGTGCAAAAATTCACGTTTCCTGATTATTAATTTTCTTCTTTATCACTGTACTGGTAAATAATTCTTTTAAAACTGCTTTTTAGTGTAAGCATTTTACTTATTTATTTATTTTTAGCCCAAAAGAGCATTAATCCTAATGGGCTGTTAATCTCGAAATTGGAGTTTTCTTCGTCTGATATAAACGTCTGTATCACTTTTCAAATTGTTGTCACTAAATATTGTCGCCCTGTATTATTTTTAAAAGAAGAGAATATTGTTGTTATTGTTGCTAAATGCTCTCTAGTCTGACCTATAGTCAGCCCAAGCCTATGAAATTCATTGTGGCAAGTTTACGCCTGTCGTTGGCAACAGCCCTGAACACTTTACAGAGGACAGTGCGATTTAGCTCAGTTCCTTCCGAATTTTGATGGAGAACCTTCCCGGGGGGACAGCTCCGAGGATCTCTACCCCCTCTTCCTTTGCAACTAACCTCTCGAGTGGATTTTCGGCTCGTCGTATATTTAGAGTGCCCCCATGCCGCACGGACACTATACAAACATCCATGCCTTCTCCGGGATTCGAACCTGGGCCCTTCGGCACGACAGTCAGCGACGCTAACCATTATACCGGTTAGGCGGCTAGAAAATATTAAAGAAGGATCTAATGAATCCACTTTTCAAGCAAATTCTACAGAAAATCGAGTGAATTATATTGCTTATAGAAGAATTATCTTTACTGAAAATCTGTCTAAAATAGTCTTGATTAAAGTTTACCATAAAGAAAGCCAAGTTACTTTACACACTCTGTTGGATGATGGTCCACATCGATCATACATCGAAAAGAATTTAATAAAGTAATTGAAACTTTTTCGTAACAGGTGCAGAAGTGCTGTCACAAGGATTATTTGGTAGTGGAACTATTCCTGCGCTAGAACAAGGAAGGTACGATGTTACGGTATAAATTTAGATGAAATGCTTTCCACGAGAATTTCTCTTTTTGGAATAGCCCAAAATTTGCACTACCCTACCTTGAATTCGTGTCAGTCGGACAGTAATTTCGAAACGTAAACCTCG